CAAGTACAACAACCGGAATAGAATAGAGAGAAGAAGAACAACAGCAACAACAACAACAACAGCAACAACAACAACAACAAGCACTCACCTGAATCCGTGAAGGAAAACGAAAGAAATGGAAGCTTTCTCCCTCCTCTGGTTTCTCATGTGAAAGAAATTTTTAGAGAGAGAAAGAGAGAGAGAGGTCCCAATAACCGGAGGGCGAGAGAGCGACGGTAGTGTCTGTTTGTAGACTCGGAAACTTCAAATTTTGTTTTAATTATTTTAATATATATATTTTTTATTTTAATTATGTTTGCCGTTTTCCGGGGCGGATTACAAAATTTTTAAGTTTTACCAAACGTGTGATGACGTGGAGAAAACGGATGACGTGGCAACGTCTTAACGATGGAAGTTTTTTTGAATTTGAATGACACGTCCCCCCGCGTTAATAAATGTGTTTTTGAAAGTTAAACCGTCCACTGAGCGGGAAGAAAAGAATGACAGCGGCCGTCAATTATAACCATTTATCTAAGAAAAGACAAATTAATTATTTTATTTATTACCATTTTCCCTTTTATTTTATTTTCAATACTCGCCACCCTTTTAATGGAAATACAATGGTTATTTGAAAAATGAGTAAAAATAAACCATATGTAACGGCTCAGATCCACTCCTAGTAAATTTGATGTGGGACCTTGTTTACGTTGACGCATAATCTGATGTCTGATTCTAATATTATTTGTAACGGCTCAGATCCACTCCTAGTAAATATTGTCCTCTTTAAGCTTTCTCTTTTAAACTTCCCCTCAAGGCTTAAAAACCTTTAGTTTCCACACCCTTATTTCTTTCTCCTCCCCCACTAACGTGGAACTCTCACGGTATTAATTTGTAAATATTTTAATAATTCAAAAACATTTAATATGATAATTTTGTTATATACATTAAACTATTTATATTAAAATATTTAAATTGTGAATTTGATATCTAATCATATTGAAAAATAAATATATTTATATTTTTTATATAATTTAATTATTAGTACAAGCCTATAAGCTAGAAAAGGCACGTTGGATAGACATACAATAATTTCAAATAATTGGTTTTTTTATTTGTTGGGGTAAAAAATACTCTTTAATTATACTTTTTTTTAATATAAATTTAATTTAGTCACAAAATTTTAAAATACTATATTTATATCCTAATTTAAAATTTTATTTCAATTTGGTACTTAATGTTTATTTTAAGATTTAGTATCGAATTTTCATTAATTAAATTAATTGTAATTTTTTTATTTAATTATAATAGTGGTGAAAAAATAATAATGGTTAACAACAACTAAAAATTCAAGACTTAACAAGATTATGTCACGTGGCAGTTTGCAATTGTGGAAATTTTTATTTTGTCGTTTTTTAATAATTTTATTAAAATGGAAAAATAAAAAAACAATATTCACTTTGCCATTGTATATAGTAAATATTCAAATAATACAAACATATAAAGTTTTAAAATCTTTTTAGTTTCTTTCGACTTTATGTAATTTTTTTTTTTTCCTTAAAAGACTTTCTAAAAATTGTAATTATTATGAGCTAACTTTTATTTAGCTCAACCAATATAATATATAGTTTTAATAATAACTGTTGGGCTAATAAAATAATAACCATGACCGAAATAATTTAAAAAATTAAAACATAAAAAAGGACTTAATGAAATTTACTTTTGTACCCCTACTTTAAATGCTGAAAATCATTTTAATTAAATAGAGGGCAAGAATGGTATTTCGTTATTAATTTAAGCTTAAAAAGAGTAGGTATTATGAACCACAGCATTTTTTAAGACGAAAATGGTGTCGATGTTTCTGTATCTCTTATGGAAAAGTTGCGTAAAATGAGATGTCACAAAGGGGTATTTTGGTCTTTAACGAAATGGCGGTGGGAAATTCCACATTGGCCACTCGTTTTGGCGTGGGAAAGAACAATAGCCAAACGGTCAAGCAATTCTCTACCCTCTCAACAATATCTCCATTTTTTTAATATCCAAAAATAATTTTAATTTTTTTAAAAACTTGAGAATATTTTATATTTTTTGTTTTTTTAAAATAATAAATAAATATTTAAAAATTCCATAGAACAAAATTATTATTAAAAAAATTAATGTTTAAAAAAGAATTAAATGAACTTATTAAGAGTTTGTACAATAAATTGAAGCAATCCTAAAGCTAATGTATTTTACTTATTGTGAAATAAATATTTATTTATTTATTCCATTTAAATCATTACTAATTAAGAAAACATAATCATTCAATATATTCCAAAATTATAATATTATTAAATAGAATTAGATATTAATATAACCTTTAAAAAAATGTCTATTTTAATTTTAAAGGTGTAAGTTTGAATTTTCAGTCTCCAATGTTTTAATTATTTAAAATTTATCATAATTAAATTTGTTCGTTTAATAATGAAAATTAATAAAAGAAAACAAATATTCGCCCACAAAAATAATATGGTAGAAATATATTTAAAAATAAGGAACGATATATATATATTTTTTTTTAATATAATAAGTGCTAAATAAAATCACACGACCTTGAGACTAAAATATATATTTAGTTTATTATTATTATTATTATTATTTCACGAACTTTACCTAAAAGAAAGGTTGGTTGATGAATTTTAAAAAAAAATACTACTTGCACAAAATAAATACTTAAATTTAAAATATCTAAAATATATTTTTTTCAATTTTGTGTTTAATAAAATTTTAAATGTACGATTTATTATTAGAGGGGTTCGTTAATTGAATTGGGTCAATTGAAATATTTTATTTGGACGGTAATTTTTCAACATAAATAATATTTATTAAATAATAAAATTGTGTTTCTTTTTTTATTTTAGTTTGTAAAATATTTATTTATTTATTTTTAAATATTTAATTAAAATTATCATTTTCACCTTTCATTAAAATAAATAATTATAAAAATAAAATAAATATAGATATCTGATCTAACGAAACTTTACCTAAATAGTTTTTAAAAGTGTTTTCAAGCACGTAAGTCTATAGAGTATTTTAAGATGAATGTGACATTTTATGAGAATTAAAAGAAGTATTTTCGCATTTAATGTTTATGATATGTATACAATGACGATCTTAAATTAAGTAGAGAAATTCAGATAGTTACACTAATCATACGGATTGAGTTGAGCGGATCGAGTTTTTTAATTTTTCAAACACGTTGTACAAGGATGTTTGAAAGTTTATGGAAAATTGGACCGGTAGCATTTATTTTCACATTTAAATTATTATTTTATTTCCCATTTTCCAGAATGGATAAGTCAAAATAAATGGGGGGTAGATTGCAATAAATGCAAGTTTTAACCTAATGTGATGGTTGTCAATTATAAACGAGACATTAATAATTGAAACCCTAATTTTGTAAATCCTGTCACGCCAACTTAAGACACCCACGAGATTTAGTTTGCGGATCTTATGACAAATTATTATTATTCCATCAATCATTGCATTTTTTCTTAATTCCCAATACTAAACACTTTGGTCTTGTTTGATAAACCATAGTATTTTTCTTTATTATTTATTTTCTAAGCTTTTATTTTGCTAAACTACATATAAAAAAAAAAAAAATGTCTAAAATTTCGATATAATATTGGACGACCATACCACATGGATAGAGGTGTTAAAAAATCTGATGATTCGAAAAATCCAATCAATCCTATATAACTTATGCAATTTGGGTTAAGTTGTGAACTCATACGAATCGAGTTGAGTTCAAATAAATGAAAATTTCATACATTGGGTTAGTTCATGAGTTATCGTAAAACTAGAGTGGGTTGAATCGAACTAACCCAAATTTATTGTTAATTTTTAAATATACATTATTTTATATATATATTATTTTGTTACACCACTCCTTAAAATAAAATATCTGTTAGCGTACCAAATACAACAATATCGGTTAGCGTTGTGCCAGTAAGGAAATTGGCCCCAAAGAGAGTGGATTTGGTGGGGGTTCCACATCGATTGGAGAAAGGAACGAGTGTCACACTGGACCCTGAAGGAGATGGATTGTGAGAACCTAAATTGGTTGGGAGGAGAACGAAACTCATTTATAAAGGTGTGAAAACTTTTTACTAGCAGAAGTGTTTTAAAACCTTGACAGGGGAAAAATCCAAAAAAAGACAATATCTGCTAGCTGTATATGAAAATTTAAAATAACAACCTCGTAAAAATAAGTACATATTAATGACGGTAGATATATATTAATGACAATATATGCCAAGGCTAAATTATTAAAGGGATTCTTTATCTCAAAAAAAAAAAAAGAAAAAAAAATCTAACAGTATTCAATGGTCAAACTATTTATGAGCATTTAAAAATTATTATTTTGTGTAGGTCAGTGTAATTAAAGCAAAGGATCATTGGGGAATAAAGGAATTTCAACAACATAATAATTTTTAGTTTAATTAGTATTTCCTCAAATCCTTGTTTAAAATTATTTAATATTTTATTTAATAAAATACAACCTATCGATCTAATTTAATTAGTTTAAAAAACACAATTTTCTCGTAAAATATTTTTAAATAATTAAAATCACTTTTGTCACGTTTGAAATTCGAGAGAATTTAAGAATTCTCAGAACCTACCTATACCTAAACAAAAAGACTCGGTGAAGGCTTAATATTCTATGGAATTAGCTTTAGGTCTTTCCTGAATAACTTCGGTGGAGGGCGAAGAACCTCGTTTCAAGGGTCCGAGCCATCAACGAGGTACTGAATAACTATAATCTAAGATTGTATCAAAAAAAAAATTCAATAATAGATTTAATTTGTGAGCTTTTAAATTTATTTTTGTATTTTAAACTATTAAATAGATTCATGAATTATATTTAACTGATTTTATTAAATTGAAGTAAATGAATTAACTAATTAGATATAAAAAATAAAATAAAATAAAAAAATTCAGAAAATTATTATACAATTTTTAGTAAGACAAAATGAGAAATAATTTATGGGCAGAGAATCTGTCGCCGTTCTTAATCCGTATATAAACAGAGAGCCCAATTCTGAAGAGAAACAGAACGAACTTCCCCGAATTATGCTTCCTTCCAATCTTCTCCTCCGGCTGTAAATTTGTTCTTGCTTCCATCAATCCCGTGCTCGTGCTCTGAACATGGTTCTATCTCTCTCTCTGTCTCTACTGGATGATATTGCTTTTTTAGTATTGTTTTCAATTATTGGAAACTTTATCTGAGCGAAGTTTCTGATCAATTGTCGTTAGTTCTCGTCAAGAATGTAGGTTGATTTTATGTTAATCGAAAGTGAATTTTGAAGGTTAGTGGATGATCTTTAGGCGTTAGGCATTTGGATTTCGAGAAAACGAATTTGAAGAAAACGAAGACGGACAACAATGAGTGTTGAAACCGAAGTGGTGCCTTGGGATGGATTTTGGTACCTCTAGGGCATGATTTGCTCTGATTGACATTGAAGGGACGTCTGTGCGGAAGGAAAGAGGGAGTGACTACTCTATAAGGTACATTACAGAAGCTATTAATCATGTGATCATTTGAAGTCATGTTCGTACTTGTAGTGTAATTAGGGGAATCTTGTTTTCAATTAGCTGATGGATGAGATAAACCCAGCCTATATAAAGGTATCTATAATGGAGGTTCGCGTAAATTGGTTGATGTGTTTTTTAGAGTTCGATCAACGATTGACTATCACGAGATAACTGTTTGGAATCTTGAAAAGTGAAATTGCTTCGAAAGAGGACATGATTGATGAAAGATGACTCGTACCTCGTTTGTCTTTGATTACGGAGTTGAATGGCTTCACTGTCGCACTGCTTAGATCAAAATTAAGTCAAGTACTTCAATCTCAATGATATGTAAGAAAAAATTTCAAAATTATAGGTTCAGATCTCCTTAATGCCACTTTTCTAGTAGCTTAATTTCAAGTTTTTGAGCTACTAACTTCCCTTATTATTGTGAGGTTAGAGAGTTTGTTCCGAACTTGGTGAATATGGAGAGTAATTAAGAAAGAAGCCCTTTCTGGAATTGCAAGGAAAATTTTGTTGTGACAATGCTTGAACAGGTTGACGCTGTTGGTTTGTAGCAACTGTGTACGAAGTGATCATGCAGTGTAGATTCATTCATAGCAACATGAACACAGTACATGGGCATGGCTGTCTAGGAAAAACGATGAAACAATGGATTGGGGAAGATCGTGGAAAACAACATTTTTTTCACTGCTTGAAGATGTTCAAAATCATTGTCAGTCATTTTGGTGGCATCCATTTCAATGCAACTACCATAATTGTTGGCAAGTCTTCATGCTTAATAAATTTCTGCCCTTCATTAGACTTGGTGTTCCTTCCATCTAAAGTCTAGCAACATAACATACACTTGCGAAGCAATACAGACAACCATTGTCAAATTTTGAAGATTGTTGGGAGAGGAGTCCCCACATCGATTAATTAAGGGGTTGATCGTGAATTTATAAATAAGGAATATTATCTCCATTAGTATGAGGCCTTTTGGGGAAACCAAAAGCAAAACTATGAGAGGTAGTGCTCAAAGTAGACACTATCATACAATTGTAGAGAATCGTAGTTTCTAACATAGTATCAGAGCCATGCTCTTAACTTAGTCATGTTAATAGAATACTCAAATGGCAAACAAAAAAGCTGTGAGCCTCAAATGTATAGTCAAAAGTGACTCAAGTGAGGCTTCAGAGAAGGAGTCTGAATCCTGATTAAGGGGAAGTTGTTTGAGGGCTCCATAGGCCTCAAGGGAGGCTCTATGGTGTACTTTGTTCGAGGGGAGGATTATTGGGAGGGGAGTTCTACATCGGTTGATTAAAGGATTGAGCATGGATTTATAAGTAAGGATACTGTCTCTATTGATATGAGACTTTTTTTAGGAATCAAAAGCAAAGTCATGAGAGCTAATGCTCAAAGTGAATAATATCATACAATTGTGGAGGATTCTAATCGGTAACATCAAAGGCCTTCTTGTACAACTAGAGCTGTCGTGAGGTCTATTGCTCCAGGGAACCATTCAGTCTGCTCTGCTTCATCTACTTTATGCAAGCTGGTTTCATTGTAGAACAGTGCTGATTCGAACAAAGAATCTGCCACATTATTACATCAAGCTGATGGGTTGTTGTGGTTTCTACATGGAAAGCCTGGGGTTTCCGATTATAATAATGCTGTGAAGGTGCTCTTCACAATTTCTTATGCATTTGGGTGTATCTTATGTTTTCTTGATCATTTTAGAATAATACCCAATAGCTAATTGAGCTTATATCTCTGCATCGCAGGTTGGCTATGATCCTGAAATTGATTCTTAGTCTTACCCTCCCTGGCTTCTTGCTCAACCACATTCTCAATCACAATTTGGTAATGTTTCCTATTTTGGCCTTTCAATTATCTTGAACCTTTGTTCAAGATGCTATTTTAAACTTCAACTTAAAATTTAAGTTATATCCATTGTTATTAAACATAAATTGTGGACCTACCCTAAGTTCACGAGTGACATTAAAATTTGACATCCAATTCAACTTTGGACATTTCATTTCCATTTTTCATTAAAGAGAGGGTGATCAATCTCATTCTCGTCTCATTACGTGGGACTCACACTATTTATTTTATTGTTCTCTTTCAATTTTATTTCTCTAATTTCGTCTCGATGATCAATCTCATTTTTATTACTTATTACGTGAGACTCGGACATTTTTATTTATTTATTTTACTTTATATCAATGGTCATTTCCTCTCCTTTGCCCTTGTTCAATTTTGTTTCTCTAAACATCTTCCCTTGTGTTTTTTTTTTTCTCACATCATCGTCTTTCAATTTTTTGTTAGATCTCATTCCTAATCAGTCATTTGTTTAGTTCATTAACTTTCAATTTTATCACTTCAATTTTTAGACTCTTATTTTTGAATGATAAATCTCATTCTCATTATTTATTTTGTGAGAAATTATAGCGATGAAAAATTGCAACGTTCACATATGAGATGCATCTACCCATAAATAAAAACATACAAAATCATACTGAATTTTCATGGAGTTGATTCTGAGTCCTAAAATTTGGCTTCCAAAAGAAAAACCCCAATAGGGATAGATTCATCAGCCATTAATTGACTGCAAAACGAACAGTTCACGAAATACTGAAACGATGATAAATAATAAGACTACAGAGATTTGGCGCTCAAGTTCTTATAACAAGTGGGACAGAAAATTGAAAATTATTGCTTATTATTAGCTCGCGTTTCTTCACATTCCTTTCCCTCTCAATTTCTCTCAAAATAAATAAAATATATTGCAATATCAACTTATTAAATTAATTTTGTAACACCAAATAATAACAATAATAATAATCTCAATAAAAAATAAATATAAATGAAACTATTTTCTTTTAAAAGTACTTATATTAAGATAGATGAATGAAATTTGTAACACTAAAAGTATTTTCAACTATATAAATTTAATATGATTTTTTTTTCTTTCAAAATAATTTGCAAACCAAATGAATAATAAATCAAATCATGAATTACGACAGAAATTACTAACGAGCTCATAGCAGATATTACCCAAAGATAAAAGCTGCTCTGTTTTCTGTTACAGCTTCATCCAAGGAGAAGAACCTCCAAGAGTTGCTGGTGAAATCATAAGGCTAATTAATGCTGCCTGCAGGCTTCACGGCCTTTTGGTTTCGATCCACTCCGACCACGACATTGAAAAGGGCATTGAATTATGCCTACTGTAAGGTCGCATGGACTGTAACCTATGCAGCCTTCTGCTTTACCAGTCTATAATGGCTTAAATCACTAGAGTAAAGCACTCCATCGGGCGAGAGGACACGCCGAAGAGCGCTAAGAAACCGAGCCTAACAGAAAGGAAATTGTAGAAGGTGAGAAGAGCAGCTATTTGCAGCTAAAGAACGCAAGAGATGTCTTGTTCTTACCCATTGAAATCCAACGAGGGCGTACCAACAACCCACCAAACCATAACCCCTGCTGCTTATAACCTGAGAGTAGCAGTAAAGTTGATGCACAAAGAGAAGAAGAAATAAAAGAACTGTCAAGAATGAGATTTAAGGTTGGGAGACAGAAAATTACCAGCAATAAAAGGGCACCGAGAGAAAGGCATCCACACATTGACAAACTAATAAATTTTAGGTCTCGTCCAGCCTGCAAAGCATTAACGTCAAGAATTCAGGAAAGTTCGAAGATTTCAGTACAAACGGAATAAGGCATTCTTCAATTTCTCCCCCTTTTGATCATTTCTCACCGGTATGTATAAACTATGATGAATGGTTGGGAGGGGAGTCTCACATTGGCTAATTAAGGAAAAGATCATGAATTTATAAGGAATATCATCTCCATGGATACAAGGCCTTTTGTAGAGGGTCGTGGTAAATATCATACTATAAGAAAAGTCACGATAGTTTATGTTCAGAGTGGACAATATCATACTATTGTAGAGGGTCGTGGTCCCTAACATGGTATCAGAGGTATGCCCTTAACTTAGCAATGTCAATAGAATCCAAGGGTCGAACAAGAAGTTGAGCCTCAAAGGTTTAGTCAAAAGTGACTCAAATGCCGAACAAATGGTGTCTTTTGTTTGAGGGCTCCAGAGAAGGAATCGAGTTTTGATTAATTGGAGATTGTTCGAGGACTCCATAGGTTTCAGGGAAGGCTCTATGGTGTATTTTGTTCGAGGGGAGGATTGCTGAGAATTGTTGGGAGAGGAGTCTTACGTTGGCTAGTTAAGGGGAAGATCATGTGTTTATAAGTAAGGAATACTATTTCCATTGGTACGAGACTTTTTGGGTAAACCAAAAGCAATGTCATGAGAGTTTATGCTTAAAGTAGACAATATCATACTATTATGGAGTTCGTGGTTCATGACATAATGATTTATATTTGTTTATAATCTTTCTTTATGTGATAAAAGAATGATGTAAACGTACAATTCAGCCACAAAAACTTCAGTAGAATCTTTAAGGAAAGCAAACATACCAATAATGTCCCTTCTAAGCAAAGAGTTGGGGGCGTTATGACTAGCGCCAAGAAATATGGAATCAACACTCTGTGCATCTGCATGTACAGATGATTGAGAGAATTTATATACAAATAACTATCCTTGCAACTAAATATGGAATCAACACTTCATGCGTCTACACAATATAACACATTAGTATTATTGATATCAAGAAACAACCTCCTGAATGATCTTTTCTTCAGGCGTGAAGAGATTCGGGAAAAAACGAGGAACCGATGTTCCGATAATCCCCAATACTAAACCAAATATAGCTCCTATGATCAAGAGTGATTTGAGCAGCATTCGAGCCTACATAACATTAAAGGGTTTCCACAATAAATTCAATGACTGTCCATAAAGAATGGGTTCTACAATCATAAGCTACCCATCATTGGGCTTTCCCACTCGGGCTTTCCCTCACAGGCTTCCCCTCAAGGTTTTTAAAACGCGTCTACTAGGGAGACGTTTCCACACCCTTATAAAAAACGCGTCACTAGAAACGAAAGTTCTTACCTTATCCAAATTACGATTCACTCCATTGATCAATCCAGGCATAAATGACTGAGCAGTTTGAGAAAGAGGTTCACCCCATACGGTACACATACAAAACGTTTGAACCATGACCTAAGGTGAATGGCAAACCATCAATTTGACATGACCATTGCCTTTCAATGGAAAAGAAAGAGACATTGCATATGAGATAAAAATGAAGAGAATTAAGAACCTGATGAGCAGCCATGGTGTGTGTGCCCATAGATGTAGCATAATAGATGAGGAGAGAATAAAAGACCACCTAAAAGGTCACAGTCTTAGAGTCATTATTCAAATGAAAACAGATGATGTAAAAGGGTTTTATAAAATAGAACCTTTGACATCATGGTTAGAAATATGGGAGCAGCAATGCCAAGTATTGACAAAAATTCACCAGTTGAGGGAACAGATGGAGAATATGCACTGTATCCTTTCTTGTTCAGAGCTCCTACCATCATATAAGCCGCAATAACCTAAAAACCATAAAGGAGAAGAAGGAGATTGGTTTTGAGGTATGAACAAGTATAAGTGCATAGAAATTAGGTACATTGACATAGACAAAAAGAAGAATACCTGTGATGCCATAGTTGACCAAGCAGCACCAACAATACCATAGCCTAAAAACGTGCATAGGACCAGATGACCTATGCCATCTACAATACTTGCAACTGCCAAAGCCTTCAAAGGTCCCCATGAATCCTTCATGCCAAGACTAGAGCAAAAATGATAATGAAAGTTAATAAATTTGGAGAATTTTCAAGTAACTCGTGTAGTTATACTGGAAGTTGTTTGAAAGTTTGCGAAATATTTTGTCAATGTTGTGCACAATGGATTGCATTTGCCCTAATTGTTAGGAATCACGATTCTCCATAATGGTTTGATATTGTCCACTTTGAGCATAAGCTCTCATGGCTTTGTTTTTGGTTTCTCCAAAAGGCTTCATACCAATGGAGATGGAGATGTATTCCTTACTTATAAACCTATGATCAACCTTTTAATTAGCCGATGTGAGACTCCCCACCAACAATTCTCAACACCAGTTTGTTTAGTAGTCTTTAACTTATTTTCCTTTTACTCGTATGTAAACAAACACCTAATTGCAATTTGTGCTCAAGTTCACAAATGAAAATTATGAAGTAAAGAGCAATGGCAAGGGCCTCAAATCTAACACCTACATGGGACAAGTTGCGATAGTGATGAAGAAAATCAATAGGCAAACCAATGGCCTAAATGAGAAAGGATATCAGTTTTTTTTACCCTTTTTATTCAATTTCAACGCAAAGATGACAATGCAAGTTTTGGGGTTTCATATTCCAACAGAAATCATGGACATTGTAGCTATGATAGAAAAAGTTAATGAGATTGGCATGGGTCTAGTAATACGAACCTTGCACTCTGTGCAACCCATCCAGTGAGAACTGCAGGCCATGCCAAACCTCGAATCTACCAACGAAAAGAATTTTGATCAACTTAAAGTCATTGAAAAAACTATCATAATGGAAGCATTTGGACATTGACAGCCAAAATTGAAAGTAGAAATCATGAAAGCATGTCAACGTAAGAGTATGTTGTGGTCACATTCTAAATGAAAACTCTGTTTGCCACCAAGGTCAACTACTTCCCATTATTACACAAATAGGCTAGGAATTATAACTCAAGTCGAGGAATAATATAGATATAATTAAGATCATTCTTTCAACACTCCTCCTCAAGTTGCGGAATAGATATCATTCATTTCCAACTTGGACTGGATGGGTTTATGTGCAATATTGACAGCAGGACTTCAACATCAAGACACGACTTCAATGGTAGCTATGAACGCTCCTAATAAATTTGGTCAAGGTGGAAGATTGATAGTTATGAATACTCCAAATAAATTTTGTCAAGTTAAAAATCGGTAGCAATGAAGGCTATAAGGCTATGCCAATTAATCACGCCCAAAATAGAATGGCTCTCATACCATGTTGTAATGTTGCAAGTGTAAACTATCTTACTCACATTTCTTGTCACATGTGTCTTTTGTAATACAAAAAGACTAGATAACAACAAATTTTTCTTATTTAATAGGGGATT